TATATATATATATATATATATATAACAAAAAAATTTGTCATAATTTAAAACATCACGTGAAAAGTAGGACTCATGGTTACCTATCCCACACCACAGTTTTAGATGCGGATGAGCAAATGGATCAGGATGACCAGCAAATAAATATGAGCAAAGGGAGAGGTTTTCATCGATTATTTATCACTTAATAATTTATTATTCACCAAATAATATAATCTAATATAATTAAAGAAGCATAAACTTTTAATTAAACATAATCAATAATAATTAACAAGTCACCCATCACGGAAAAATAATAATCAATTCTAATATTATTTAAATTAAATTAATATCTTAATATTAATTAATTAGTATTAACTTAGTTATTTATCAAACTAATCAAACTCATAAAATTAATTAAATTTTTAAATAATTATGCAAGCAAATAAATCATAGTTAAATATCATTTTAATTAATTTAATAGTTAAAACCGAACCCCACTGAAATTCCCAAAAGTGCAGCGAGTTTCTCGGCGAAGAAGCATTGGAGTCGGCGAAGGATCGTGGAGTCGGCGAAGCTCATCAGTTATTCCCAGTCCGCAAGCAGTGAGATGAGGAATTAAAGGGAGTCCATCGGTAATCTCCCTACCCGTCCTGGTTTCGCTTAGAACCATCGGTGAACGAACCTTCACGATACAGTCGCCTACCTGGGAAGGGAACGACGTGATCGGGCTTACATAGGCCACCGAAACGCCAATCTTTCTCATCCTTCCGCTCCGCTCCTACCAGAAACCAGAAGGTAAGTCTGTTCGCGCCATTACTAATCCCGGATTTACGGCGAATCGGCGTCATTTTGGGATTGACCTAATCTCAAGATTTACGGAAATGCATTTTTGCATTTTGGCAGGATTTAGTCTAAATCCAGCGTGAATCCTTCTTAAATCCGGCTACCAAACAGCCCCTAAGAGGAGAAACTGGATTCGCTAAATCCTGGATTTAAGTTCATGTTCGCCGTTTGGGCTAAATACTGCGTAAAAATGTTGAGCGCATTTTTATCTAAAGCAGAAAGGAGGTCTAACAAGCCTTTTAGGTGCGAGCGAAGAAAGCGCGGGGAAATATGAATGGTGCTAATCTCAATAGCAGTGGAGAAGAAGATTACGATTCTGAAGCAGGGGAGGTTTTCTTAGACGAGGACGATGTTCTTCACGAGATCCCCATCGACGAGGAAGGTTTCATCTATCTTACCACTTTACTCCTGTCTGTGATCTTGTAGTCATTCTAACCTAATCTTGCACTTCGTGCAGAGCTTCCGGATCGGGACGATGAGCAAATGGATTCAGATGTCGATTATGGTAGGTTTTTTTCTTATGATTATGACGAATAAATTCTTTTTTGTTTATAATATTTCATAAAATTAATCTCTTGGAATCCGGCTTAGTTGTTGGTTTATACAAGAAAAGCATTTTAGTTTTTGAATGATAGTAATATGTGCGTTTAAATTAAGCGATTATTGCCTCTCTGAGTGCAAACAAGGTAAAGGGGTGTTTGGTAGCATACTATTCATGGGATTTAGCAATTGATTTAACTTAAATCCCCCCAAACATAAAAAAATTAAGAATTAATTCCAATGATGGTTTTTTTATTTTTTATTTATTTTTTTGCTTTCCGTTAAATAAAGGACGTAAATCTTGATTTATTAAATCCACCTACGATGCAAATTTAGGGATGTCACTCGTCGTCGCTCGCTAGATCTACATAGCGTTTGATAAATCCGGATTTAATATGACTTGATAAATCTTGTTTAACATAAAATCAAATTGTAGCCAAACGCCGGTTTGTAAGGGGTGAAGTTTACTATGTATTTTCTCATAGGCTAGACTCCTTTTGAATCATGTTAAAAGTAAAAATAATGAGTGAAGATTTTAAATTTAGCGGTTTTTATTCTCGAAAAATAAATATCAAGTGCAATATATGAAAGTTTAAAAAGGGTAAATTTAATAATTACTTGACAAAAGAGTTGATTGGTTCAAGTATTTGGGATCAGTTAAAAAAAAAAAAAAAAAAAAAGAGATTATGGCATAAATTCTAGAGTTAAAATTGTTTAATTAAATAGAGGAGCTCTGCAAAACTATTTCGTGATTAGGGCTGTAAACGAGCCGAGCCTGAGCGAGCCCAGGCCCGACTCGTGTTCAGCTCGCTTGAATCTGGCTCGTGTTCGAAATCGGCTCGTGTTCGAAATGGCTCGTGAACAGTGTGTTCTTGTTATGCTCGAATAACAATTTTCATGTTCGTGTTCGGCTCGAAAATGACTCGTTAGAATATAAAATTATTTAATAAATATTATTTTAAAAAAACAATAATTTTGTCTAAAAATGTTTCAAGGACAAATTTCATATAAAAATTCAGAGATTTATTAACTTAAAAAAATGATGAATTCAAAAAATTTTAAAAAATTGATTACAAAATTTTATACAAGAATATTAACATTATTTGACAAAAACTTAAAAAATAAGAATCAATTTATTACAAATTTTAAAATGTACAAACTAAACAAGAGTAAAAAAAATACAAATAAAATTTTAAAATAAAAATCTAAATCTAAAAATAATTGTATTGAATATTTAATTCTTCTTATGATTTACATACAACTCAAATTACTAAAACTAATTTATGTAAACCTAGAGCTCACACCATTGGAGCAATAATTGCAGTAGTTCTTTCCCGGCTGTTGTTCTTAAGTTGATGATGCTTTCTCTCTGCCTTCTTGTTAGTGAAATTCAACATATCGCTGCTGAAACTTGAAGTATCAGAAGAAACTGTTAGTTTGACTCCATGAACGGGTGCTGCAGGCATAGCAAGAGTCTTCAGAGTTCTCTTGTTTCAGATCTTGAATTTGAGCTCCTTGTGATTGGTAAATCAACTGCATCATTTCTTTTATGGCAATCTTTTCATCTCATTAATTAAATAAAATATGAAGAGAAAAAAGAAAGAGAAAGTATGGTTGATTTGTACATCTGATAGTGATTTGGTATAAATAAATATATAGTGGTTAGGTACATACTGACTTTTTGCGGGTTTGTTAAACCCCTCTAAAGCAAGCTGTTGATATAACATTAGATGTCAAACCAAGGTTACTGTTACAAAACAAGAATGATTAATGAGAAATTATAAATGTATTTTCTATAAATAAAAGTCAGCTTTACCAGAGCTTCCAGCGATAACACTAATATTCTTAGGGAAGTCAAGGCCCAGTGACTGTAAATGGCCGAGAAGAAAACCATGTGATAATCCCAGAATGCTGTTCGGTTTCATGTGATAGAAAATCTTTTCATAATTGTCTGCCTGTAAAGAAGCGCAATAATTAACAAATCCAGCTTTAAAATTTATTTGATCAAATTTAACAAATTTAGTTCATCAAAATAGACTGTCCATACATCAAAAGAAATGAAATTTGAAGCATTTGATTACAGATCTAAAAATGGGAACAAAACCTAAATATAGAAGAAGAATAATGCTAAAAAAATAAATAGGCCAAAAGTAGTAACTGTGCATCAAACTCCCTCAGTTTTTAAGAAATACAGTCTAATTAATTCAACAAAAGGTCATTCATGTCAATGGTCATACTATTAATTGGTCATTTAGAAATAACAATGATTACAAGTTTGCAAAACCGTGGTTCTGACCTGTGCAGCATCTGAAATTAAAAGCAAAACAAGATCACTGCTTGAAACCGTTTCCCAGATATCACCCAATGTTCCGTTATCTTCACTAAATCCAGCAGCTCGGGCTTCTTCAAAAGATCGAGAACCTTTCCTCAAACCAATCTGGAAAAGAAAAAATATTTGCACCATAAATTTTAAAAGGTTGAATAGGTAGATATGGAATGCCTAAAAAGAAAATTAAATCGCCCAAAAACAGGAAACAAATATAGTGGAAAAGAAAAATGTTTACAGATACCAATATCAAAAAATTTAAATTCCAGGAAAAGAACATGGATGTGAAGCAAAACTAAAGAAACAACTTATTATAGAAATCAAAAAGAATGAAAATGCAAGAAAAGAAGAATGAAAATTATCCTATGGATAGGGTACCCGCTCATGGTAACCCAGAAAGCATAACTTCTATTTGATCAATGAGATAATTATTCAGATTTGTTTTTTAAAGTAGTACAGGTAAGGGTTACCTTTGTTAAAGACCTAGCTTGATTCATGGAAAATTGTTAGTGAATAGAAAATTTACTAACAAATTCATGGAAAAGATCTAGCTTGATTCATGGCACGTGGTAGATCATTGCTCAAACCAACTCATTTGGAAAAGATCTAATTTCAGCCACTTTCAAATATAACTGTTTCAATCACATTTTCTCCAATAAATTTGCAAGCTTGTGCCAACAACTGTGATTGAATGAAAAATAGGAGGCACTGTAGAAGAGATGATGAAAGCTTAAGAGTACCTTTGGTGCATCAATGTAGTAATTTACATTTTGAAATGTCATGGTTAATGGATTGAATGGTATGAATATTAGTAAACTGCAAATACAATATAAATATGAAAGTTTAAAAGTTACTAGAAAGGTTGGTCGGATCCATTGCAAACCGAAATCTGAGATCTGAAAAATCAAGCCAATCAAATTATTGATAAAACCAAATCCACTGGACTGAAATTTAATGCAGTTTAAACTTTAAACTGTTTATCGAGCAACCAAAAAAAAATACCAATCGATCGAGCTAACACTGCCGAGAAGGAGTAGTAAAGATCAGTTTTTTTAAAATTTTCAACAACCCTTATATCAGTTCTCATCCATAAAAAAACAGATCTAAATGCAATATGCGAGATTTCATTGCCAAAACCCCTAAAAAACTAGGTTTCACTCAAAAAATCTAAGTAAATCTAAAAGAAATTTAAAAAAATTTAAGCTAAGAGGTGAATCCAAAGATAAATATGAAATAATAGAGAAAAGATACTCAAATCTAACACCTCTGTAAGTAACGAAGCAACCAAGCAAGAAAATCGAGCAGTCGAGCCAATGCTTACTATCCGAGGAGAAATAGAACTAGAGATTAGCAGACGAACATGAGCGACGAACCCTAAGCTCTCGCACCAGAAAGCCTTTCGCCGATTTTCAGAAGAGAATGAGGGAAAGACAGCTCGCGATCACGAATTTTAGAGGAGACGGCGGACGGGAGACGAGAATGGGATTGGGAGCACTGTTACTTGTTAGGGTTTATTTGGGTACAAACGTTTTATTATATATTATATTAAATATGTAATTTATATTTTATAAATATATAATAGTATATAAGTAATAGTAATATATTATTCTTAATATTTTTTATATATTATAATTTATAAGAAAGTTTTTTTTAAAATATGATAATTTGGTTTTTAAAAAATT